TATTTATCAATTAAAATACGTTTCGGTGTTTTCCACCATCATCAGTTTCTATGTGTAGCGTTGTTGCTACTTTAAGCCTTGGCATATATTTTTCATTGGAAAATTAATTTTGATTTGGAATTGAAACACAGTCAGGAAAGTATGTACAATTAATCATTAAGTTTTCAAGTAGCATTTGTGGCTCCATCAAATTATGATCAATATTGTTCAACAACAAGTATATTTTTTTAAAGAACTGAAAAAGGCCACCAGCTGGGTCTATCTTACCTAGGAGACATTCAAATTTCTGCACTTTATTGGGAGTAAGATAACACTCCGGTAAGGATTTGTAGTAGTCGTCGTCTACTCGCATTAACCTATGCGAATGATTGATTGTATAATCTGATCTATAAATCCTTACAGGATTATAGACTTACTTTTCTTACTCCCTATTTAAGTGCAGTATTTCGGTTGTGTCACAGGCAACCCAAACCCAGCTGATGATGGGTGTAAGGCCCGAAACCGGTCCTGGGAGTGTTTGTTCTAGAAGAAAAAGCCTAGTAATGCTGTGTCTTCACGACACTTGTGTGTTGATGCTGCTCTGTGTATCCATGTGCCGCGACACCTCTTACGACGCGGCATTTTAAACAACACAACATTTAATTTTATTCAAGATACTTCGATACGAAAAATTTGTATCATTAATTTTAGGGAAAAAGTTATTTTTATTAAAAGTTCTGCTTGGATTAAAACTATTGGATAATATGAATTTTTCTCAAGAATTACGTATTTTTATTCTTGACAATATCGAAAATTGTTATTAAAAAAAGTTGATTAGAGTTAAAAAGTACGTTCAGATATCTGATTGTACCTACCAATGATGAACATCGAGTCTTCTATTTTTGTTTGTTTAAGTTGGCTTGATATGAGGAAGTTTTATTATTAATTTTACGAAACAAAGTTATTCATAAAAAGTTCTGCATGTTCCAAAATCTAAAATACAATTATCAGATATCAAATTTTTGCTTGCATTTACAGACGCCTACACAAATTCAAATATTGACAAAATCAATAATATCTCGAAGTGAATGAAACTGAGACATAAGAAATGTTGAAACGAGTAGCTACTAAAATCAGTCAGTCAATTCAATTTAGCTATTAGTAGTCCTGTTGAAGGTTTCGGTTAAAATTAGAAAGTTATTTGCAGGTCATTCCACGTTTGGCGCATCAAACTGTTTATAGTTTATCTCAGTTCTGAAATAATTTGCGATTTGTCTACAATTTTACGGGATAAATACACCGCTCTGACTCGCCCTAGACGTTGTGATATATGAAGAAAAAATCGCATAAGTTTAGCTATTCAATCAACAGGAAATTTTCCAAATTAACATTAATTTACACAAATTTACAGCAACAGCTAAAAAGCTTGACAAATAGTCTCGATACAAGTGATTATTTGGTACTCGTACTAATAGCTCGGTTCAATCGCAATTGGCAGCACTACTTGCAAATTAATCAGCAATGTCAACTCTGGCTTTATTCTTCTATTTTATTGCGTTATCAACTACAAAACTCCCAAATCTTTCCACCTATTTGAAGCCAGTTTTTTCTTGGAGTCTTTTGAATGTATTGGCCCACCAAAGCCTAGGGTCTACACCAACGATGGTTTCACTTAGACCCCAAACCGAAACCCTGCATGCCCATTGGTCTGGGTCTTCTATGGCCACAAAACACATGACTTAAACACTTTACTCCGCATATTTATAGGGGGATTGTGTTGTTTGAGAATAAATTCCAGCATACCGAAGCCCGGCCAGGAAAATCATATTCGTCTCGAAATTTGCAAGGTCTAATTTTCTTGACTAAGTTAGATTGTAAGGCCGACATTAGCGTAATCTAGAACTCTCTCAAACGTCTGATTATTAACAATTATCTCAATATATTCAGAGCTCATGGCCCAGTTCATTTTCAGTACGATTTGCATTCATGCTATGTTCTTGAAGTATGGTCTTACACTCTTCTGATGCGTTGGCGATGATAACGATGTTGTCCATGATACAAGGAATATTATATTATATTCTTCTTCTTCCATGCCGTCTCCTCATTGAAGATTGGCAACCACATGTCCGAATGTGTCTCTCCCGTGCCACATACAACAATTCTTCAACCAATTCCTGTCCATTCTCTTATATTATGAAGCCAAGATTTGTTCTTGCTTCCCCTCTATTCCATACGTATATTATATATATCATTATATCCACGAATTGACGCTTGCGGTTCTCCCGACACCACATATGTGGACTGCGATACACTTTCCCCAATTCAAACAATCTGAAAATTTCGTTTTTTTCCACTTTTCCTGATGCTCGGTTAACCATCTCTCTCTCTATTAGGGTTTGTAGTTCTTCTGCATCATCTGCCATTTTTGCAGTATCGTCTGCAAATCTAAAATTATTGCTTAGTATCATTATTAGTGTAATTATGGACAAATTTCAAACCACACAATCTCAACATACCAGAAAAAACAAAAACACCTTAGCAAATGAATGTTTCACAAAATTTAAACCTAGAATTGACAAGTTAGACACACCTATTGTAATTTACAAAATAGACTGTTTGAATTGTGGTAACACATACATAGGTCAAACAGGACAATATCTAAAGAAAAGAATATAAGAACATAAGTATAGCCTAAGAAAGAATAACGAAAATGGTACAGCATTAGCACAGCATGCACAACAGAAGTTGCATAATTTTGATTTTGATAACACAAAAATACTGATTAACGAGAATAATTATAATAAGAGAAGAGTCCATGAAATGATACAGATTAAAAAACATAACAAT